AGCTATAGCACTGGGGGGCAGAGGCTGCAATGACAGAGCCTCCATGTGCTGCCACCATGCTCTGCATGCTGCTCCCAGCCAGAAAAGTGGCTGACCAGGGAGCAGCATGTAGGGCTGCCTTTTGCAGATGGCTTCTGGTCTCAGGCTGCTGCCGCCAGAGCCTCTAGCTCCCCCTACTGGTAGCAGAGGCCCAGTGCAGGGCTGCAGGGAACAGGAGCAGCAGCTAATCTGCTCCTGCATCCCTGCACATGTAAATGCATGCCTGAGAGGTTACTCTGGAGTACTTTATTCTAGAGTAAACTGCTCGCAGATTATTTGCATGTGTATGTGCTTCTTGGTTCTTATGTCATCCTTTACCCAATGGAGAATGAGTGCAAAATGCTACTGTCAGTGTAAACAAGTGGAAAATTCTGATATTGTGGTATTTTACACCCATATTTGTGAGTGACAACACTAGGGACAAAGCAGTGGAAAATCAAATGTGGGTATTCATGCACTTTCTGTATGCCAAGTATGAAATCTGCAGGGCTGCCCAAAGTGTGTTGTAGAATACAGCTCACAATAAGCGAGCACAGTTAGATCAAAAAGTAGAAGTTCAGCCCTGCTTTCTGTTTTGTCACAATCTGAAATTAAGACCAAAAAAATGATCCATCTCTTGCTGGAATCTTTTCAGTCTCTTTTTAAGGAGAGTCAGTAATTGCCAAATGTCCCTCTGAGCCTAGCAATGCCCGCTCCAGGCTAGTATGGTTAAGACACACTTGTTTCTTTGGCCAACAGCACACAAGGGAGCAACGTGGCTAGCATCATATCCAACTGCCTTTGTCTCCTCAGCGTGAATGACCAGACGCCATTTGGAGCTGAGCTGACTGGCAGCAAGCTTCAGCACAAGTACAGAGCAGAGCTAGAACTTACTGGTATGCCTCTGAGCAAGACACTTTAACTATTCAGCCACCATGCCCCTATACATTCATATAAATAGTTCTCAATGCAAACAGTAGCATACTTAAGAAGTTTGTGGACTTGAATACTGAACTAAATCCTGCCTGTGCTGGATCAGAACATAAAGGATTTGTAGGGGAAATGGCAAGACTTGCTCAGACAGCTTAGTGTCAGGTGTGATGGATGGAGATGAGTGTTATAGGGAACATTGTTCTCTTGCAAAAACATTAGAACAGGGACTCTGCATAACACTCCAGAAAGATGCCAAGAATAAATTGTCTTAGGTTCATTGGGAGCATCCTGCCCTCATAACGGGTTAGCATATGTGTAATAATATACTGTAAACTCTAGGTGGGAACATGTTTCTCTTGTTCTGAAGAGCACAGCGTATGCTACAAAGTGCATTCTTTCCCTCCCAATCAATATTTATATCTTGAACTGGCTGTCATGGATTCAACATTTGGCCACCAGTTAGGGTCTGGTTTAACTCTCCCTGGAGGATTTTTGCTTCATTCAACTGCTTCTACAGCTTGGCACATTGTTTTCGTGCCTCTGATTCAAGGCATGGTTCTCAACTGCAGATCAGAGATCTCTGGTATACTAAACTACCTTTTGCAGTCTCTTGATCCTGGGAGACGACCCAACCCTTGGTATAACTTAGACTAATCTTGAGGCTGTTTTAACTTATACCCAGTGACCTGTGGCTACAAGAGGCTATTCCTGCAGCCAGGGATATCAGAAAACTAGAGAGAACCTGGTTATAATCCTTTTCTCCTGGGAATGACTCAGTGACTCCTGCACCAGCCAATTTTTTTTTTACACAAAAGGAGTCCCTGGGTAGCCAGCTGAGAAGAGTTTCCAATAAGCATGTATCAGCTGGCTGGATTTGAGACTTAAGCTCCTCGTTTCAGCATATGCAAATGCTATATTATTATATTACGGCTTAAAGGTAATTGTGTTGAACTATTGAGATTGGCAACCTGGAACTTCAAAAGACACCAAAAGCTTTGCAGCATGATTAAAAATAGAAATACATATGAAAATTGATTTCATACCATCATTTCAAATTCCAGACTCCCAGAATGCGCAAGGTTTATTTTAATTGAAACCAACCCATTAGTGAATCAAGCAAGATCTAAAAAATATATTCAAAATATAAGAAAAGTGTGCATCAATTTGTGTCATATATGTCAATATAGCAAAAAAATCACTTACTTTTCAGTAGAAACATATCATTCAAGGTTGTGACATGTCAGGCACTACTGAGAGCTTTCACAACTTGTCAATGCATCTGCTTTTCAGCAATGAAATAACGTGTTTCACTACCCTGACATTGATGCCACAAAAACCTACAATTCTTAGTGCTTTCTTTTGAACCCAATCACTTGATGTCTGTAAATATGATGAGATAAACAGAAGTGACACAATCTTTTACCTATTTTGAAGTGTTTGGAATAATTTCTTTTATATTAAGCCACCTATAACTGTGAGGTTTAAGATACTAATTGTCCAATGGACAATTCCAAGATCATATATTTCTTACACTTTTCTCTAAAAACCCTTGTACTGGCTATGGTGCCAGCACCATTGGTCTTATTTTTTGTAAGTTCACATGGGATAAAAAGAGTATATTTTGTATTTGGTAACTGGAATGTGGCATCTTCAACCCACTGCAATTCTTTGATATAGCAGAAGTATTTGACTATCATGAAATGCTTTGTGTGCCTATGCAAAAACCTTCTTAGAGCCCTCTTACAGCAAAACTTGTAACTTGCAGAATTGGATGATACCTGTAATGCCTGGATCTGGTGACAATTAGGCTTCTCATCTTTGAAAATCTACTGTATAGATTTGGAAAGTCCTGAAAGCCACTGCTTTTTGTGCTTAAAGGGATGAATGAGATGGCCCATAGCTTGTCCTGACAAGAGGGTCTAGCATTTAATGTATTAGTCCAGGGTGGAAATAATGAATTTGGAAAGTCCAACTCTTTTTAAATAAGTGTAGCTTTTCATGTGAGCTAAGCAAAAACTGAGCCTGTGAAATAATTCCCACCCTCTTGGGCAGCATGACCAACTCCCCTCCATTTCAATTACATTATTTTGGAGTCCACCTTAAGAAAAGATGTGGCATATCCACATTGTTAAGCAGGCTCTGGAATAGTCATTCTCAGTACAAAAGGAAAACAGAAAGACCCTGTACGGTTGGTAACCACACAACTATAGCCACTATTATTATTTAACAATCTAACATGTATTTTGCAGTAGTGCTTAAACTTCAAAGCCAGTCGGGTCCCATTCTGATGGATGATAACACTTCTGGTGTCTTGCCTGTAAGAAAGTAAGGGACAGAAAGGAAAAGCATCCAGGCAGAGAGGGGAGGAGAGTGTCAGAGGAAAAGGAAGAAAGGGGATTGATCTTATTAAGCAAGTGGTGCTTCAGAGGGTGCAGTCTGCCTTGCTTTGTGTCATGGTGACAAACTTCAGAGTCACACCGATCAGGGTCTAAGCTGGAGGGAAAAAGCTCAGGACTGACAAACAACCCTCCTTCGTCCAAGAGCAGTGGCAAGTCCTGAGAAGCAAACATAACCCGGGTGGGGAGCAGAGGTGGGGGGGCCCCTTGTGCCGAGTGAACATGAAGCAGATTTAGGCTTCGTGCCCTCTGAGGGGGCAGAGCCCTCCTGGAGCCACGCTGCTAATGCCCGGTGCTCCCACCTCCCAGCAAGCTGCCAAGGTACTTGTCATGAAAGGTGACACCCTCAACCCCCGCGGCTGTGGGCTGCCCACGCAGGTGGCATGAGCAGCAGTGTGCATTGAATGCCAGGGCCCCTGCGTGGGGTGGTGCGGGGCTGGCAGCCGCTCGCACAGGCGGGAAGGGACAAGGGGTGGCTGCGCTGCGGGGCAGGGGTCCGGGCTCCTTCCCCATGCCTGTCCCCCATGCATTTCGGTAGGGGGGGCTGTGCCTTCCCTTCAGAGTGTGTGTGTGTGTGTGTGTGTGTGTGTGTGTCCTCCCCTCAGTGTGTGTGTCTGTATGTGTGTGTGTAGGCTTTCCCCTCAGAGTGTGTGTGTGTGTGTGTGTGTCCATCCTCCCCTCAGCGTGCGTGTGTGTCTGGGTGTGTGTCCTCCCCTCAGTGTGCATGTCTCCGCGCGCACGCGTGTGTGTGTGTGTATGCTTTCCCCTCAAAGTGTCCGTGTCTGTGTCCTCCCTTCAATGTGTGTGTGTGTGTGTGTGTACCTGATTGTGTGCCTTCCCCTCAGAGTGTGTGTTTGTGTCCTCCCCTCAGAGTGTGTGTGTGTC